CTGGCGCGATATGGTTCATGGGGTCACAAAGAGTTGGACACGACTTAATGACTGAACAACAGCAACAATCTATAATTTTGTTTTCATTCTTTATTATTACTAGCAGTTTATGTGTCACATTTATTCAAGCTTATTATTTCTCTTTTTAATATCCCCATTCCCATAAATTATCTTCTCACCACCAAGAAATAATCATTTGCTTTTAACCTGGAAAAATGTACCTTCAAAGCCACAGTCCAGGGAATACTGCAATTAGCTTTGTGTGATCCCAGTAATTTAGAGGTTTCCCCTCAAACAATAGTGACTGTATGCTGCTTGTTAACTTATGAGATAAACTATTGGATAAATTAAAAATCCAGTTAGTAATATAAAAATATCTATACATGCCTAAAATGGATTGCTTGATGATATTATAGTACCAATGTCTGGCAATGCAGAAAAAAAAAAGGGGGAAAAAATCCTTTAGGCTACCTAATAATTAATATTTCTTTTGAGTGAATTAAGAGTTTTTCCCAAACTGTAATTTCCCTACCTACCATATAACATTATTAAAATAATTTGTGCAAATAAGAATATAACAATATATATTAATAGGTTACATTAAAAACCAAGGGACATTTCTGAAGGTTTAAGTACCTGTATTATTTATGTATTAAATGTGTTGGCTGCTCAGCTCCAAAATGACTCTGAGTGAATTAACCTTTAAACTGCTAGGAGTTTATTGCATATTAAATGTTTTAGGTTTTCCACAATACCATCATGAAAGGCAGACTTTTCAATATAAGACCATTTATTCAGACTATTTTGCTACCTAGCTCAGTAATGTTCCATTTTTCCAGGCAGCAGTTTCTCTGTTAAAGCTTTTTTTCATCATTCACTATTTACTCATTTTAATCAATTGGGCTTTTGTACTTTGCATCCCACCCAGCTGTAGTTTTCTGTGGTTTAATTTCTATTCATGTTTGGAAAAAAAACACAAAACTCTTAATACTCTCAGATGATGATATATGATAGATAGGTACATATATATGCATTAGGGTCCCCTAAATAAATGAATAAACAAACAAACTAGGAATTGTTTACATGCATGAAATTGATCAAGTCTGTAGTGAAGAACAGAAATTAACCTTCCTTCCTCCCTGTTAAAATAACTGCTATTTTCCACACAGGGAGAAATCTATAATACTGTATAATAAGTGATTTGTAAACCACTTAAAGATAAAAAATGGCAGTAGACCATAAATTATCTCTACAGGGCCAAGAGCCACTTTTAGGCAATTTTAAGTGTTGAATTCTTCCCAATCCACTATCCACCTACCCCCAGCAAACCAGTGCAGTCTTCCACTGATCTATATAGCTCTGCATCTGTCAATGACTTTTTTGCAACTATGGTAGAACCTCATTATAGATGTCCCATGTCATGTCAAGTTTGATCTTGTGGCAACACAACTGGAACACCAACTCACATTGATGGATAGAGTTCATAGGCGTGTATCCTTTCTCCTGACAGGCTTGTACAAGGTGATTGATCATACGGACACTATAATCCAATTTTCTCAATTACGGTACACTCCAGATATTCTGGGACTACAGCTCCCTACCTCAACACAACTGGAGGATACCAGGTTGGAGAAGGCTAATTTGAAACCTTGTAAGTAATAAATACCACTTGAACCATTTTCATAATCATTGGAAACAAATGCAGGTTGAACAAAATTGTAAGTGCTCCAAAAAGAAAACCCCAATCTGTCAGAATTTGGACCTGTGGAAGTTACCCAACACTTATCAAATGTAGCTGAACACCGAATCAGTTGCAACACTTTAGTTTTGCTGTGTCTACAGTATATATGACATTGCCAAGATTTTTGAATGATGCTATAGTGATCATAGATAAGGACAGTTCATACCAACAGGTCTTTAAGTGATTACAAATACTGTATAGAGAAGTTTGAGGGCATCATTGTATGTAAATTCACATCAATGCCCAAAATTGCTTTAGGCCACTTAAACTAGCTTAGAGATCAAAACGCCAAAATCACCCAACTCCCCTCTACTGGGTAACCTTCTGAGAAATATGCTAAGAAAAAAGAAAAAGCAGATAATATCAAATAGTTTAAAGTATTGGATTCAAATTACCAAGTAAAACAACAAAGGCTCATTAGTTTAGAATTAAAGCTGGCAAGAATATCAGCACTGATTTGTGAGCCTAATTGTACATAAAAAAGAAGATAAAGAAGGCTATGCTTCAATACAGCTATGGTACCATTATTTGATTAATTTTATTTTAATGTATTACTTGTCAACACAATGTAATTAAGTAATTGATAGTGAATTGAGCAATAATTGCACAACAGCTTTTGCCAAGTCAGTTTAGAATGTCAATTAAGATGAGACATACATTCTTGAACTACCTAACTGTGGGGCTGGCCCTGCCATTAGGCAGGGTGTTCGCTGTTCCATCAGGCAGCAGAGACGAAATGCAAAGAATCTTCCAAACTTACCTGTTCCACTCCTCTCTTACTTAACCAGCCAGTTGGCTGCTGTAATGTTGCTTTCTGCCTCTCTCCCTTTCCAGCCCAAGAGGGGTTCGGAGAGAGGTCAGGAAAGGCAGAAGGGAAGCACTTCATTCCTATGGCGGGAAAGGGTTGCTAGTTAGCAGGCAAATAAACAAGGTAAGCATGGGTTGAGCAGGAGAAGGGAAGGGCTGTGGGCAAGGCAGGTTCTCCTACCTTCAGCAGGATTTTTATTTCACAAAATTGGCATTCCTAATTATCACACTGGGTCAAATAATGAAGTATTTTTTAAACACCTTATTAAAATAAATAAAAATGTACACTGCATGTGACATAATCACATTTGTAACTGAGGTAAGTTTTTTATTGTGCAATTGTTCCACCCCAATTAAAATTTGCAGGGGGAGGGGCAAATATTATTGCCTACCATGTGGGTGCAGAAGAATACATTGAATATAATAATGTATTTCAAATCTCAATAATAGGGGTCTTAACTGCCCAATCTGTCACCAGATAGGCCTTCACAAAAAAGTGTGAGGAGGTGTTTAAAACTCAAGAGCTGTAAAAAGAACCCAACTGCATTAGCCACATGAACTGAGTTCTCTAAGAGATCTCACAGCTAGGGAACTAACGAAAATATAGAAAGAACCTGTTTCATCACACCAACCAAAGTAAGTTTCACTAACCCAAATTCAACTTCATAGAGCAACTTATGTAAGCCCAAAAGCAATAGTTTAAAGAGATCATCCTCTCCTGCTTTAGTTTACCATATATGGTATTTCTAAAAATATTGCATACCTATCTGCTTGGTCTCTCAGTGGCTTTTGATACCATCAATCATGGTATCCTCCTGGACCAGCTCCAGGGATTGGGGGTGGGCGGCACTGTATTGTGCTTGTTCACCTCTTTTCTCTGGGGTCGATACCAGTCAGTGGTGATTGTGGGGAAGAGATCCTGCCCTCAGCCCCTACTATGTGTTCGGTAATGTGCTCTACATGGGGCTGCCCTTGAAGAGTATCCAGAAGCTTCAGCTGGTGCAGTTATGGGTGCTCCTAGAACGGCACACATTACACATCTGCTCCATGAGCTGCATTGGTTGCCAGTTTGCTTTCAGGTCCAATTCAAGGTGCTGGTTTTGATCTTTAAAACCCTTCACGGCATGGGGCCAGGTTATTGGAGAGACCACCTCTTCCCAATTACATCTACTCATCCTATCAGATCCGGCAGAAGAGGTATGTTGCGGGTCCCGTCTGCTAAAAAGCTACATCTGGTATAGGGCAAAACAGAAACTATACTTGTTTCTGTTTCATATTCCCAGAATGCTAAAGATCTTAAACTTTTTTTTTTTCCACTTTGGTGCCCAGCTGCTGTTTCTGCTTTCCAAGGAGTCACTAGAAAGGATAGAACAGAACTGCCAGCCCTTTCCAATCATATTTATATACTTAACATGTTTCTTTTGCCACAAAAGAAGATTATAATTACAGTTAGGATCAGAAATTTTGGAACAAGGGTAACTGTTTTGGCATTT